ATCATTTAAAAACTGACACAGGAACGTAGGGCTTACCAATAAGGAATTTTCTAGGCATATTTATATTCCTCTCAACATAAAAGAATTTCTTGATGGGCCAAACTAAGGGTTGTAACACAGATGGTAATATGATTTCTTCTTTGAATAGCTGCTTTGAAATGACCTCATAATACACAGTTCTAGGAACATCACGCAGCTCTGTAGACGGCACGATGCCCTTCAGACGGGGAAGGTGATTTTGCGTTTGTCCTTCTCACGTGAAAAGACTGAGTGAACGAGCTGAGTATTATTACTGTAGCCTTACAGCTAAAGAAAAAAGTCAAATGTTTACAAGGAGAATCCTTGTGTTAGGAAAAATTATGCATTTAAAAACTTGTATAAAAGATCATTTCTTACATATTAAGGAAATAATGTTAGTTCTATTCAGTAAGATTTTTAAAAGTCCAACTAACACTTCCAGTGAGATTTAATGTCTGAGAAAAAAGAGAACAATTAAAGGTGTATATGTGTAATACATAATACATATTAGGAACAGAAAAGTGAATGCCAAAATATTCTAAGAAAGAAAAAGCAGGCTATGTAACACACGCCCAGAAAGGGAAGTGTGAGCAGCAGCTGGCCCGGGCAATGTGCACATCTAGCTCACCTCTGACCCCGGCGACGCAGTCGGTCAGTGATGTGACGGCGCCACCACAAGAAACGCCAGGCCCTCTGAAAAATATTTTTCAAGCCCCAAGGAAACCTAAGCAGTCTCTGCAATTTTACCGATTTGTAAAAGCTGGAAGCAGTTTAAAAATACTCAACATGAGGTTCTTGTTAGTCTTGAAAAGTAAGAGTTATAATAAAAAAAAACGGTCCAAAAATATGGTGTGGATATATTGTATATAATGGGGGAAAAAGCTAGTCTTACTCCTATTATTTTTAATCAGCTTCAATAGCAAGTTCCACTTTCACTTTCTAACACCAGTTCAGATTTTGGGAGAAGATCTACGTCTGACCCGCTGGGGCTGGTGACCCTGCAGCTAATGCCTCGGAGCCCTGATGCATTTTGCATCACTTCTGAATGTCGGGAGTTACTGGCGCCAAGCGGCTCAAACTGATGGTGACACGTGTCTGAGACCTGGGACTTGCTGTCCGACTGTCAGTGTCTATTTTATCAAACTTCCAGTCTCCCTTGCAGAATAGAAGAGATGAGTTTAACAGTTTTCACTGTTTCCAATTAAACTGCCTGCTTTATTACAAAAATGCAGGCATGCAGATTAAGAAGAACCCCTGTCTTGGATTTTAAGAAAATCAATTTGAACTGTTCACACTCTCTAAACTTGGCTTACTTGCCCCATTTTAACACATTTGTCCTATTACTAAATTTTCTCACCTTAGGAAGAAAGTGAAGGATTTTTCTTTTAAAAGTTAGAAAAACCTTCATTATGCAAATTAGAAATTTATTCTGTACCTTGCATGACCCTGGATCGTGTGCTACCTGGACCCACTGAACGGATACAGAGACTGGAAAGCCACAAGTTCTGGCTGAAGGGCATCCACCTGGCACTGGCTCACTGTTTCATGTTCTCAGATCACTAACAGCAATGGTAAGGATGAAGATTCACATTTTACACAGTAGTTTTTTACTCTTTTTCTTGCAGATAACTTGACAGAGCTTGTTTATGAAATACACATAATAAACACCAGGGAAAGAATCTGCAAGTCATCTGAACAAATTCCGGATTTAAGGGAAAAAAAAAAACCCCTCAAAATACTTAACATTTCCTTTTTAAAAGTATTTAAGGAATCAGCTTTTTCAATATTCAAAATTCAATCAAGATATTACCCTTTCACAGCTGGCCCAAACTCATGTCACCCACTATGTCTGCTTATTCTCATTTTTGCAGTGAGACAAAGATTTCAAACCCTTTTGCTTACATGTCTCAAAAAATATTCCTATTTTGCTTAAAATTAGTTAAAAATAAAGAATTTTAAAAGTAGTATTTTAAGTCAATGTTATCTGATCTAATAGGCTTTAAATTTACTTTTTGGATATCAGAAGTGAAAGGTAGCTATTTGTTTAAAATTTCACATCTGGAATATTATGCAGCAAAATTATCATGCCAAAATATGTGAATAATTATGTAGCAATTTGAAATACTTAAATCTTTGCAGAATAAAAAAATAAGCCAGAGTTAAGATCCATGGATAGCTATTTGTTTAAAATTTCACATCTGGAATATTATGCAGCAAAATTATCATGCCAAAATATGTGAATAATTATGTAGCAATTTGAAATACTTAAATCTTTGCAGAATAAAAAAATAAGCCAGAGTTAAGATCCATGGTTTGGTAGTATCAGAGGAGAGCAAAGAAATTCTATTAAAAGAGAATCCTAACCAACCAAAATTTATTAAATAAAAGAAAGTAAATGACTCTAGCATAGGTCAATAAAACAGAATGTAGCACAGAACGACTATGAGCTTTTGCTATCCTGTATACTGTCTCTGCATTTCTGCTAACACAATTTAGAGTCCCCTTTTATTTGATCTATAACCTACGAAAAAACTAAGGAAATTCACTATAAATTATTTCTTCTGGAAATAAAAGGAGAAACTTAAATAGCTATATAATTTAAGGCTTGAAAAATTACAAAAGACAGATGAAAGACTTAACTTTCTCAGAGAAGTGCTTTTCAAAGAGCAAACAGTTCTCAAATCAAAATGATTATAATAAATAACCATGTCACTCTTTGGATTTGAAAGAATAATCCAGCAAGTTTTATTAACTAATCCTTTAAGCCAACAGTACTGTGAGGTGTCTTTTATGACATAAAAGAAGCGTAAATATTTTTACTCTTGAAAAGGAACTGAGTGTTTAAAGGCAAGAGGATTTTTCCCAATTCATTTTGTAAAACTTTACTTAAACACAACTGAGGAATAAAATCCTGAAATCTTTGGACACAGGGCATAATTTATTGAGTATAGCCATCTCTCAAAACTTTTTTATTGTTTTATAAAATGACCATTTTGAAAACTAGAAATCAGAGATTTTGCTGAATTAGCTCATAAATTTATTGTTTTGTATATTTAATTTTAATGAAAATGTTTAGGTTCTGAATCATATAATTATATAGGAAATTGAAAGTGAATCTTTTCAGAGTAATTCATGATTAGTATCAGTCTGCTTTCTTTAGACTGGCAGTATCTGCAGAGATACCAAAATAATGTTTGTTCATAGTAAAACATCAATGGCAGATAATCAATCTAGTAAATGCTGTCAGCAAAAACCGTCAATATAAATAATCAGGATTATATACCCAAATCCTTTCTTCTTTTTCCAGTTATGCTTCAGAAAACATCTATATAATGAATTGTCACATGATGGGAGTACAGTAGTTGTAATGATTAAACACAACCTCTATTTCAATAATTGTAGCTAATCCAGACATCAGAAGTAATCAAAAGCCATATGATTTCTGGTATTTAACCATGTTTACCTTTTATTTCCCTAGGCAAGGAGATTCTTACCATGATGACTCAGTATACCAATGAAACTATTGCTAAAGTGCTATTATTTCTTTAAATTCCACAACAAAATAGTGAACTACATATATACAAGGTTACTGAATTTCATAAAATAATCCTAGCCTAGGTTTTACCACAATGGTGTTAAACTTTGGGTCACAACCAGTAATGACTTGTGAAATCAGTATAGTGGGTTGTAATCTGCATTTCAAAAATGAAATAGAATAAAACAGAATATCATTGTGCAATTACAGGTAATTAAGAAATTTTTGTTTTACACACATATATAGGCATATACATACACACACATACATATATGTATATACATATATAAATACAAAGTAAGTGTGCACTGAGCTGAATATGAAAGGTATTTCTTAATGCGGGTTGTCATAAGAAAACATGCAGAAGTCACTATGGTAAATGAAATTTCACGTTACACTGGAGAGAACATAAGCTATGGAGACACACAGGCCAGAGCTCAGTACTTTTCTCTACCATTCTACTTGTGAGAACAGATTACTTAAACTTAAATTACTAGAGCCTTGATTTATTCATTTGTAAAATGGCTATAATAATGCTTTAAAATGTTGCCATACAGGTTAAAATAAATATGATAAATATTTGTATAACAGACTATAAATAATAGATGATCTATAATGATTGCAGCAATTACTATTATTGTTAAAATCTTTTTACAACTGATGATTAAGTACTAGAACATATTGATCACACTGTACTATTCATTAAAAAAATACATGAACACATTCACAAAGAGAAGAGAGTTTATGTCCATGAAAAGCAGAATTTTAGGAGAGGAAATTAAATCAGCAATTTAAAGAAAAAATAGTCTTAAGGTCAAATAAGACTATACCTATTCATTGAACTGATTTAATATGAAACTGCAACATAAATTTCATCTTAAACTATTACACGCCTAGGAATAATATGATGGGGAAAATACTATGTACACTTTCAGCCAAGATCTGAAAAATCTATGACGCCAGTGACGAAGCAGGTTGCCTGCTGTAGAGCAAGGCTGGCATGACAGGAGGTATTTTTCCCTTAACTATTTTATTTGAACGCCATCCAGGGAAGAAAAGTCTTCAGTCAAGCATCAGTTTTTAAAAATTGTGATGTGTGAATAACTGTTCTTGTTTTATATATTTTATTGCCTTTGGAAAACACTTTAGAAACAATCTGGGTTCACTAATTCGGCGAAAGGACTGACTGTCTATTTCAATAGACGGCCTGTGTTTTCCAAAGCCATAAAGCATATATTTTTTTCAGATCTGTGATCCCCATGTTTTCTTTACATGGCGAATGTGAATTCGTAAGTTCTTTTAAAATCAAACAAACATGTTTTTGAAAATACTGAGGATTTTTTCCCCTTCCTTAATGAAAATAGAGAAATGGAGAGCAAAGAGAATTCCAACTTTTCAAAAACAAAGGGAACACCTTATGTTAGGTCTTTCTTAGAGGACTACTTACCTGCCAGGAAACGCGTGCTGGCCGACCGCATCTCCGTTCTGAAGGTGGTGATCCCCGAAGAAGTCCGGGCTCGCGGCTCCTTCGGCGGCCATCAACCCGTCTGGGAAGAAGGATGGGAACAGGTGAAGAGCCCGTGTAAGGGGTCAGAAGAAACGATTCTATTAGGCGACACAGCAGAAAGTGCGCGCGCACGAGACCGGGAGGCCCGCGTGGGCCTCCCTCCGGGGGCAGGGGCAGCACCCGGCGCGACGGGGGCACCCCCTCGGGGCACGCCAGGTGGGGGCCCTGCACTAGCACAGAGGCGGCGGGACCACCTCTGCTCCGGAGGGGCTCGCGGTGTTGGGGACGAGAGAGAGAAGGGGCAGGGGCGGCAAGGGCGCGGAGGGAACAGCGGGCAGGACAAGGCGCCCTGGCGTGGAGCCGGGGCGGGCAGCGCTCCAGCAGGTCCCCATTCAGACCCAGACGGCTTCGCTGCGCGGCAGGACCAGGGTCGGTGAATCTCTAGAGCAGCGATGCCCGACGCTTTAGGCACCAAACTTGAAACACACTGGCAAGCTCGGGGTAGGAGTTTTTGTAGATTTATTCTATACTGTGTTTGCCAGAAGCAGGCAGAGCGCGGCTGAAGTCGCTCCTTGGCGACCCCATCCTCGCTGCGAGGATCGGCGTCACACGGCCAGGCCCTCGGTCACTGGGCACACCTGGCGGCTGTGCGAGGCGGCTCCGCTCCCTAGGCGTTCTTTCCGAGGTGCTTTTGTTTATAAAGTGCTTCTTTTCGTAAATCTAAGTCTTTAACTATTACTTTTCTCCAATTTTAAAGTGACACTTGCTCATCTGTCCCAAGCAAAGAGTCCAGATAACCTATTTTTGATAGAATTATGAATAAGAATGTGAGGAAAAAAGATCTAAGTGATGGTTTCAGGGATTTCCTATGTATAAGCCTAATATGTTTTAGTATACAGCTTTAGTAATAACGATTTAGAAAGCTCTAAGGTCTTTTAAAGTCTCCTTTTCTGGAAGTATTCTGGGTTAGATGATCTCTAGAGAAATGTTGGCCAGGTCACTCCACAACATTGTTCATGAATCTGACACAGTAAGAAAATTATTCAGTCACCAAATGGTCATTTTACACCTACCATATGCACAATGCTGTGCTAGGTCCTGTGGGAAATACAAAAAATTAACAATACATAATTCCTATTTTCAAGAAATTGAGGCTAAGTGAAATATAAGACAAACACTTAAGATGGAATTAAACCACATTTCATTAATAAACGATCTACAACAGGACTGGATACGTGTACTGCATGAACGCAGGAGGCAGAAAAAGCTACAGAGGGATCTCTGCTCTGCAGGGGTTAGAAAATCCTACTTGGGTAGAGACAGAAGGCAGAGGCATAACTGGTTAAAGTCTTGAAAGAGGCAGGAATTAAATGACAAGCTCTGTTTGAGAAGTAAGGATATTAAAAACTGAGTGAAAGGTAAAATTAGGTAATAGAGTTAGCCAATGACCAGTAGAGCAATTTGCTTTTCCACAGATTTCTGTTCCGTTCATTTGTTACATATGCCCACTTGTTGTATTCATATACTACAGACTTGGATTATTTAATTGCTGAATTGTTAATGAATACCTTTGGTATTTGTCTTACTACTTTAGCAAATTTAAAATACTTAAGAGGTAGCTTAAGAGTCCAGTATTTAGAAGTTTTATGTCCTCTAAAAGTTAATAAATTAAAAGACCAACTAAACACAAAAAAGTTACAAAAATGAAATTATAGGAAATGAATAGACACCACAGACTTAGAGTAAGGCAGCTAAACAATATTAATTTTATACGGATCTAAGACTACGTGACAGTGTAGCTAAAATTAACTAGGGTTAAGACTGCAAAAATCGAATTCTTCTGTTAAACTGAAACCAAATAATTGAGGATCCAGGTTTAAGAAATCTGCCAATTTCAGAAGAACTAAACTAAGCAAAATGCCAAAATCAAATGTCTACTACACTTTGAAAGTGAATTGAAAGAAATTCAGCATGCCAGAAAAATAAAAGATTCTAACACTCAAATACTTCATATATAAATACAAGCAAATAAAGATACCTGAATTATGCTCTAAGAGTTCATATCACACAGAGCATGACCTAGTTTTGGCTCAGCGGTCCCAGTGTCCTCACCGAGGCAATGAGCAGCCAGAGGACATGCGGGACACAGGCAGCCACACACCGGGCGCCCGTCAAATGGACAGCAAACTGCACATTCTCAAGAGTCAGCCAGAAACTTTACTCAGAATAGAACTAGTTTATAATAAGCCTATTAAATGAGTAAATTTATACTTCTGAACTTAATTTTTAATAATCCTGGGGCACTACGATTCATTCAGCAGACCATGGCTTCTACAGTGAGTGCCCTTTAATGGCCTGACACGATTCAGGCGGCTCTCTGTACGAGCGACACCTCTTCACTGGAATGAGGCATAAAAGTCAGACTACGCCTTCATTAAATCCTCAGCTCAGGCACCTCGGCTTCTTTGGAACTATCTGTTTCTCAGCATTCTGCATCCAAAATCAAGCTCCTACTCTGACCTTTGACCTGACTGCTTCTCAGACAGCAACAAGGAGCCAGAGAGCTTTGCATGACATTTAACCCCCAGAGGACAGACAGAAGACAGAGACACACAGCAGAGCACTTTTGCAAGCTGAGCATTACATATACTTAGGTTATTAAGTTAAATGACATGTTTTAGATTATAGGTATATAATACCTTTCTGAGGCCCTTCAAGTAATGATGATAAGGTTATGAGTAAAACGGGTATGCATTGGGATGCAGATGAAATCAGAGCAAATTTATCATCAGCACAAGTAATTTATCACCATTCTTATTTCTGAGGGTCAGTTATACACACTGTGAATAAAAGTAAAAAATAAAAAAACTCATTATCATCTTATATATTATTACTGGAATAAACTTTATTTTTTAAAGTCGGTGAGCTAGCTAAATGTGAAATTACAACTGTGGCTGGAAACAGAAATCAATAATGGAGAAAATGAGAAGAAATGACTGAAATAGTTCAATGCTATCTTACTTGGCTGTACCTGGTAAGTAAGACACACACAGAAACACACAGGTGAGTGAGCGCTGGCTTTACAGCGATCCTGAAAGCGCCATTCTGAGCCTCACACTCCAGGGCTAAGGATGAGCCTCACCGCCACTGGTGAGTAACAGTAAAAAAGTGAACAGTCACTTAGAAATATGTAGTAGCAATACAGCTTTATACCTCACAGGGTATTTCCTCTGTGGGTAAAAGTAAAGGCAAACAGCATTATATTCATGATAGAAAAGGAAATTAATCAGTGACTATAATCACAATAATTTTACTCTCTCAGAAAAAAAATACTGTCACTAAAGAAGATGCTGGATTCCCATTTCACATGAAAACACTAAGATCCTTTTTTTAAATAAAAGTAAGAGAAAAGCAGATACATTCTGACATATACGACAGTTTGAAAATATAGAAGGCGATACTAATGACTGGAAGTAACGAACACTACCTTGCTTTCAAGTAAAAGACAAGACCCAGGGGACCACAGGACATGGAGCTTATAACCTCTGAGGCTCAACAACCACTTCAAGTGGCCCCCGGCGCAGCCTTGATTCAGGGAGACCCAGGGACATGAGACGGCTCGCGCACTCACTGGATCTGCTGCATTGCAGACTCATCGATGTTTCTGGAGACACAACTGCTCGCAGTGAAAGACAACAGGCTGGCATTTTCTAGATTTCCACAACACACATCAAGAGATACCAAAGAGGTTCATTTGGTTGATGAACTAGTCATGGAAAACGAACTAGCTAAAATAATGAATAAACCGAAAAAATGTAGATGACTTGACATGAGAACTGTACCTTTAAACTCACAGCAATGAAATCACTGTCAAATGTCTACCACATCATCAGAGCAAAGATAAAAAAAGAAAATCCACCATGAAGATATCTGAGGATAATATTTCACTCCTTGAATGATTAAGTTTATTTCTCCATCAGCTGTGATGCTTTCTAAGTTGAGATATATAAAAATATTTGTAATTCAGGTACCTCAAAAAAGCTATTTATGATTTTCAGAAGTTAATTTAAGTGAATTAATTTTGGAGATGTGGTATAATTTTTTAGAGTTTGTTCTGAAGTTCTAACTGCATTAAGGCAACAAAGTTGACTACTGAGGTGGTTACAAATGTTCTCAGTTTTGGAAACTAGTAATTAATTCCCACTGAAAAGTAGCTATAGTCTTCAAAGCCAGAAAACTGATTCTAAGAAATTCTGATTTCTATTACCAAAAAAGTTAATATCATACATATTTTAGCTCACTTTGCTTCACGAATACTGCCTGTAGTAGGAACAGCTGCTCGCCATTCCTGAGCTAAGGGTTCCTGGCTGGCTGGGATCAGTGACGTAGTCCAGTGGATCTGAGACACGAAGCAGTGTTTCCCAACCACTGGGAAGCTCAGTGGGGAAGAAATCACTTAATGAAAGTATCAATTTTCCAAGATCCAAGCACCTATATTAAATACAAAGTAATGCAGCATTTACAGGCAATCTGCACCTACAATTATGAAACACATAATAAACACACAGGAGGAAAAAAAAGAGCCATTAAGATATAATTAACGTTTTTTATTTCCAACCTGATACAGATCTTAATTAAAAATCCTTTCCTTCCTCTCAACTAAATGACTTCAATGTAATATTATTATTGGCAACAGTCCAGCACATTAAAAGCTGGAATATGCAAAAACTTACCAATCTTTATGCAAACTCATCCCTGGAGAAAGGCAATATGGCAGATCAACAAGGTTCTAATATATGTAAGACCTACATAAAAATCACATTTGACCTTGAGAATACTAGCAGAGTTTAAAACGAAAAAACTATTGCTATCAAATATCGGAATAATCTTCCCAACCAGTTTACTAGTCTGAAACTAAAGCAAAACCCTGGAAAAATTAGGCTGTTAAAATGAAATACACTGGAATATAAAACATAACTTAGTAAGTTATGCACATCACATTTTCAAATAGAAGTTGGAAACCTTGAAGATATCATTTTAAGGTGTACATTCTAGAAAGTGCTAAACTAAGAGCAATTAATTTTCCTGGCTACGGCCTTCTTTATGGAGGTCGCATCAGACTAATCTGGAAAAAGTGATGGTAAGGTCCGGGCTGCCTGGTGCACAGATGCTACGTGTGAGATTCTCAGCAGCAGACAGCCATTCACACCCTAAAGGGCTTACAAAGCCTCGGAATGGGCAAGGCTAGCCAACCAAAACCTGTTTACAGCACACAGATAACGGCTTATTTCCACCTCGGTTATCATCTTACCTGCAGTGTAGAAAAGGTCCGGTCTTTCGAGAATATCTCCCTCATGGATGTACGGCTCGACTCGGTCATCGCCATATAAATACTGCTCACTCTCATCCATCTGGCGGCTCTCCACCATCTCCAGCCACTGAGAGTTATGCCAGCGGAACTTCTCACTCTGAATTTTCTTAGCCCATTCTTCATCATATTCCTAGTGAAAAAATCTGCTATTATTAGGTTACCTTGAAGGAACTCCCCTGGCACTGGGATGACAGAACTTCTATCCCATTATAACAGCATTTGGGGGGGGCCTTCATTAGGGTCAGAGAAAACATTAAAAATACCTTTTCAGAATGATTTTATACATCAATAAAAACCAGCTACATATATTAAAGACAGAATTACCCATCCCTAAATAAATGGCAAAACCCAGAGGAGTTTAAATTTCACAAATTCTCTATCTAAATATTACTTGAATTTAGGTAAGAGATCAGACTTTAGCTTCCAAAGAGTTTCGTGGCCATCATTACTTGCAGCACTAATGTCAGGCGATCAAGCACTGAAATCACATCTTGTATCACATCCTTCCGGTTAGGTAACACTTCAGTAGGGGAGAAAGCGTGATTAGAGTATTTCTCCTAACTGCTGAAGTGATCTAGTACAGAAAACGTCAGAATCTGATTTAATTTTATTTCAACCACAAAATAATGATGTTATCTTAGTCACAATTGTCGGTTTAAATGTGACCTCCGGCTTCGACCATGAACTTACCACTGCCGTAAACCTGTCCACAGAGAACGCCCTTGGAGAATGTTGCTGAAGGACGAGTGGGCGAGTTACTATGAACTGCAGCCGACCCTGCCTAACCCCTACTTCCCATGGGCTGGCTACTTCTGGTCAACAGCTAGTGGGCAGTACCACTGATGGCACAGATGGAAACAGAAGATTCAAGGGTTTCTTGCCACCCTAACCCTAGGGTTCTCAATTTTAAATTCCTGTCATACCTTTATCGCTGTCGTTTATAGTTATCTAAGCAGAAGCTGGAAAGGTGCCAGGCAGTACTACTGTCCTTTTTAGTCAAGATGACCATGGTGACTAAGAGGCATATCAAATATACATTGTAGTCAAACACTGAGCAATTTTGATCCAAAGCTGAGGCTCAAGTCAAAAATCAACATCACAGAATAAATTTCTATAAATGTAACAAGTCTGAAATTTTATAATAAATATAATTATCTTGCTAAAACCTGTTAAATTTTTTAAATGTCACATTATCAATAAATCTCTTAACAGTGTGAGCTGTCTGACTGTATATACTGTGTATGGGCAACTATACAGACTCTCCTCTTCAACCGACGTCAGCAGAGGCAGAAGACACTTCTTGGCAGCCATGCGAGTGAACCATGGACTTTCCATCTTCCTAACAGTCATCTACTGGCATTCCTACTAGTTGTCAAGCATTTCCTAATGTGATTATTAAAATTCAAGTTGCATAAAAAAACTATAATAAACACTCATTATTGCATTTTGCCTTAAAAATAAGCACTTACTAATTCAACTATTATAATTTCAGTATTTAAATCAGAGATTTTTTTTACTCCAAATTACATCTACAATACTTGATGTATAATATTTGAAACTGGTAATTTAGATATAAACAATAAATCCTAAATTCAAACGCCGTATCTTGTTTGCATGGACACATTGATTGGATAGACATTCATCCATTCATTGGTCACACAAATTATTCTCACAGTGAGAGAATACATATAAGGCATCTAGAAAACCTATACTGAACACACAATGGTTGGTTCATTTTGGCTTTCCAGAACTAAGTAAGATGCCAAGTGGTGCTAACTATGCAATATGGGCTCTGTGATCAGTTTCAAAATGATCACCTCAAGTGCTAACTATGACTTTGAATCTCTTTAAATTCTTATGACTTCACAAGGACAGTTTTTGGTCCCAGATATGTATGGCACAGTATATGTGCTCAACTAAAGTTAGCTGCAAAAATATGTTATCATCTTACTAGAAGTGGCCACATAATTTAAGAACAGTAGTCACATACACTTAGAAGAAGGAAAGGATGAACTTATTAAGGTAAAAAGTTTAATGCATAAATAAAAAGCAAAATGGTATTCTGGGCAAGAAATTCTCCAAACTGGCTTTTTTTCTAAAAGATAAGTTAGTTACAGGTCACTCAAGTTCCCAGCATATGACTTATAATACAGGAATACTATTAAACCTGCATTAAATACTGAAACTAATTTGAGTGGTATTGTTTCTTCTACGAACACTTGGCTTTTTTCACTTGGCAAGAGGTATAAAACTAATTTTTCACTTTGGTAGAAAAATTTTATATCTGAGTATCTGAATGAAGACGTATTCAAGGAAGATGACAGAAAGACATATGACTTGTTTTATTATAATCTAAGGTCGAACATACAGATTCCTCATGTAAGAACAGGAGTTAAAACCCAGTCAAGTGCCCAGAGCATTTAAAATATGGGTATGGTATTCCACTATGGTAAAACCTGCCCCTTACTCATATTTGTGAAATGTTACAGAGGTGAGTGTGACTTAAAAAAAAAGCCAGTCCTTCAACTGCATATCCATAAAATGTACTTAGCCTAGTAAGTAATGTTCTGCACAAAGAAAAAAATTCATGCTTATTCTAGGAGTTACAATCTTATACCCTTCTTATAAGATTTTACTATTCTAATTTAATAATAAAAATACATTTAGTAGCTGGAGAAATGTGTAACAAAACAGAGACCTTCTAACATAAGCCTTCTTATCACCCATCAAGCTTACAGCAGTGTTCTTATTTATCTATCCACACACACAAGCCTGGGCTTTTAAAAACAGACTATTCACATCCCATTTCACAGAAGTCCGAACACACAGACCAAAAATATCCATGAGCATCACAGTTAACTTCTGACATAAGACCGGACTTGTCAGTGTCTCAGGGAGGTGAGTGAGCGGACCTGGCACCAAACGTGACGAACCCCCCTTATGCTGATCTGAATTCCTTTGAAGTTTCCATCCTTCTTTTATCACAGAACTACAAACTCACAGAACTAGAGCATCTCGGTATTATAAGGCCAAAGAGTGTAGCAGCAATGGCCCAGACTGTATTGCCATATCACTAAAAAAATTTTATTATTCCGACTTTTGAGCATTTTTGTACTATATAGCCAGTTTTAATTTTCTACGACTAATACAATGACTACTAGCATGTGCACTGCGGTTCACAAGATCACACTGAAAACACTGTGGTCGTCTTCTCAGCTCTTCAGAAGGAAACAAACCAGAGCAAGTTTCTCCCTCAGGAAATGTGGGCCAGAATGTGTTATTCTTCACCAACCGGGTGATCATTTGAGGCACAGGATATCATGTTTTGCAACAGACCCAGCAATGACTGCAGACTCCTACTACAGCGACAGGTGCAGTGTTCACGAGGTGGCCTTGAGATGTGAGGCTTTTTGTTATGAATCATAGCAAAGAAAATGCCAAAAACCTGGACCAAGTGGTACCAAGGCCTCAAGGAGTTACAACACGACTTTTCAAAAATATTTGGAGTTTTGTGGTTATAAAACTATTTCATTACTGAAAGTTGAAAATTATAGGAAAAAACCCACAGTACCTTTACCTTGATAGAACCACTATACTGGTTTATATCCTACCAGTTTTCAGTATTTTCTTCTAACATTAACAGCCAATTTCTGAAAATATTTTTAAAATTATTTTTAAAGATGTATTTTTTAAATTTAGAAGCTAAGTATATGAAACATTATTAAATACTGCACTTCTGCTATACAAGTTTGCTCTAGTTTGTGATAATACAGCCTCAGGCGTCCGAATGTTTACCAAATACAGGATCTTGGAACGAAGCATGTTATGAGCGCAACATTCATTTAAACAGTTCTTGTCTCCTTTTCCTTAGTGGTAAACATGAACCAGAATTAACTGAGACAGCACTGCTTTGCTCTATGATGCTGGCTTTGACCTCTGTTTCTGAAACAGATTTCTATGTTTCAGATTTCATGAAAATCAAGTATTTTAGCTTATGGCTGTTGAGAGTCTATGAAGCAAATGTGGTCCCTACAGTTTCAGATTTCAGATCAGGCTCAAAAACAAACTTGGGAGTCTGACATTAAAGGTGAATCAACCACCACCTACTATCTTTATTTCAGAAAAGAAAAGTGATTTTAAAACTAAAATTGTAAGAAAGGCAATCTCAAAGTTACGCTTTCCCAATACAAAACGTGCTGCCAGCTTCACCACTAGAGCACCCCCCCCACCTCCCGCAATGTTTTCTCTTTTCTGCTCTGTCTCTCATTTTAGCGAAGACTAGTGAAAGCTTTATCCTACGCCCCCGTGGCCCGGCAGTCCGGGAAGCCGGGACTCAGCTGCCTGCTGTACCCTCAGGAGCAGCTTGAAGGCCCTCAGCAGGTCAAGGTTTGGGCCCCGGAGCCTCGATTTGTAGCCAGTGGTGCAAAACAAAGAATATGGCCCGGGGGCGAGGGGCACTCTGCTTGTAGCACTAAAAGAAGTACGTGACCTAAAGGTGTACTACTATCTTTTGTCTCAGATTCTTTATTTCTGAAATGAAACAAATCTAAGATTTACTGGAGTAAAATTCTAACATTCTATAAATAAAAGTTATGATTAATGCCATTATTTCATATAGCTGTTGAAATAACTACTCCATCCTGGCAGTAAAGAGTTCATTAAAAAGTTAAATAGCAACTATAAATGAATATCCAATGTTACAATTTAGTTAACTCAATTTGTATCAATTAAAATCCATTCCCTCCTTTGCCCCCTGAATCTCTGCTTCCCTCTTATACAGCTTCCCCCTACTATCATGAAATGACTATGGGAATTGAGATATCATAACAATCTATAAAGCCATTGTGGAAATACCCTAGGAATAGAGCTCTTTTTTCTTCATTTTCGAAATGCTTCTCACAAGGGGTGCACCCTAATGTCCTTGCCTTGAACTTGAGTTTGTCTTGTATTAAAGGTGCATGTACTTTGTCTTTTATTTTGTTCTCACTCCTGACATGATCTTAGGCACTTAGTTTCCATAAATTCTAATGTGTCATGAAAGACTTATGGCTTGATTTTACATGGAATGTGCCATCGTTTTTGAAGTCCTGTGTCATTTTGTTCACTACTTCACCGCAGCAACACCGTGAAGCCTTGAGCAGCCTATTACCAGAGCCTGCTGACTCTTGGAACCCTCTGTAACTGGCTTCCGCCAGACTGTGTGTCTGACTAGTGTACTACAGGATAACACACAGCTAGCTACACAGGTCTGCTCTGTGTTGTAACCTAACTGATGGAAAACAGATTTTCCTTTTCCCTTTAATGTGACAGCCCCCTCACTGACAATGTAATATGGTTTATTTAATACACTCTTCATGCTAAATTAAAGCAGATCTAGAGTAATTTAGTTGCTCATTAAGGTTAAGGTAGCACTGAAAAAGATGCCTTTGTATCCTAGAAAATACTTCTCCCAATGATATGTTTATGATGTAAAGAGACACAGAATCAAACACACATACAAAATAGACTTACTTGTCGGCATTTATGCCCAGACTGCTTCTCCTCAACAATACTGCCCCAAATGTTGCCGTTCAGCCCTAACTGGCATTTGCTAACCAGACCTCAAAGTACAATTACTTCTTCAACCTGTTTAAAGCATAGGGAGGCTCGTCTGTGTGATATCATCTCAATTATCATTGAGATGGTCCAGTCAGACCACAAGGTACAACATATAACTAAAAGAAATTTATTTAAGCAAGGAATCATTATTTTTGTCTTTCGTACTATGGTTGGGTTCTTCTAAATCCAACTTGTTGCCAATTAAACAAAAACAATGTAGTATTCGTAAGACTGGCAGAGAATACACATATCCACGTACATGCTGCAAATTCTAACAAGGTAGGATATCCTACATTTCTGCTTTTCAGGTTATGAAATATAAAAATGAACTCCAAAAGAGGGCTCACCAAACCCAATTTGAATGCATGGAATTGAGAAATAAAAATCAAACTTACAAATCTGAGAAATGAAAATTTACTAAGACTATAAATCAAGCAATAACCAGCACAACTGGTTTTGGGAAGAACATCTTACAAGTTTCCATCAACAACTCACTTTAAACCCCTGCTCCAGCCCATACACACCTGCAGGCCAATTAAAGCGGCCACCATCTGCCCACTCACCCAGTCCCCACCCACCCCCTGTCCTGAGTAACCTGAGCTCTGATGCCAACCCTAATCCAAGCCAGTACTGACATGGGGGCAAGTGATGAAATGAGGGAAGGAATATGCAGGCAATTTTTTCAAAACGTTGGTCCTACAGGAAAGCAGAGAGCTAGGACAGGATCCAGGAAAGGCAGACACAGGTCACAGCCCCTCCCCAACAAGAACGTTCTGCGGAGAAGGTGCTCGGGGAGGTGCGCCACCACCAACAAGCTGAACGAACGCAGGCCCTGCATCCTACCGGCAGGACAGCAGACAGTAAGGAAGCACGGACGTCCCCAGCAACAGGGCCCTTCTCTTCCAGGGAACAGCTCGGACTGTGACTCAGCCGAGCAGCACAGCAGGGGGTCACAGCCACATGCTTAACTCACACGTGACTGTCTTTAAATGTTCTCGGTTTAATACTTCTAGTATTTCTAAATACTTTTTCAGGTTGAAGTTTTCCAAAGTGTGAAATAGTCCAAAATGACTTGGCATCAAATCAAATACTTCATACGTCCAGTGTAGAGTCTGAGAGCGATGAGGTGAACCTCAGAGTACTTGCTCAGATGCTTAAATACCAACTCAGGTGACCCGACTTCATCTTGGGGAGCCCCAGCCAGCCAGCTGACACATCATCAGTCTCATTTTGCTGATTTTCCCTCTTTGAAGTCCTTATATCAAGGAGGCTCTTTATGAATGTAATAGTTAAAATAATTGTGACATTGTTAACTCTGACCAAGATTTTATAAGTGTCTTCAAGGAGGGGAAGATTAACACAGTAAAATGAACACTAAACATGCTCATTGGATTTAGAAAAATGAAGGTCAGGGTGACTTCAGTGAGCACCATTTCAATGCAGTGATGGCAGCAGCAGCCAGTACTGACATGGGGGCAAGTGATGAAATGAGGGGAGGCATATGTAGGCAATTTTTTCAAAACGTTGGTCCTACAGGAAAGCAGGGAGCTAGGACAGGATCTAGGAAGGGCAGACACAGGGTGGGGTGACTCCTGTTTAGAATGAGAGACTTGAGCCTAGAGTTAAGAAATGATCGGGAATAAACATTTTTGTCTTATTCATATTTTATACAAAATATTCTTACAATAAGACTAAGCTGGCCTTTTGGAATATCATTAACTTATATTCTAAACGAAACATACCTAATATGCAAACATAAACATGGTACTCCACCTCCCTATTCTCAAAAGAAGGTATTATGAAGGTAAATTATAAAGGTGATTCGTACCAGGCTGACATCTCTCTCCTCTCCTCATTGCATAAGGTGAGACAACCACACACAGAATTTGGGGAAGTTTGTTATTCTTGCACTATGTGCTTGACATACAACAGTGGCATTAGTGACCTCCAGAAAGCAATGCATGAACCATGAAATTGTTCTCTAGGAGTAAAAAATACATTCATAAACCCTGTGCCCGTGACCTACATGTATTAAACATCATGATGGAACAATATTTAATATGTGAAGATTCCCTATTTAATTCAGAGATCAAAGCTGAAATGCCAATGTACTCATTTAGTGGTAAACCAGTAATATACTCAGTCAAATCCAAAAAGCAGGTGGTATCAAATAAGATGAGTTTATGAAATAACAATTTGGGAAACTGACAAGAAAGTACCTAATGGTGATCGTATCATTTCACAATAAAATCAACAGAAGAAATGCCAAATTAGATGATTTCCAATGGAGTTGTTAACTGATTATTTAAAATACTATTCTGATCCTTTTAAACTGCTTAAGTTACTAAAATTTGAGAAGTCCTGAATAGGCCATATTCAAGGAACTTTTTACAAGGTAAACCAAAATAAATAGTATAAATCCAGGCCAAAGAGGGAAGCAGGCAGATCACGAGCAGCCGTACGTCAGGGGTGAAAAGCGTATGTAAAGTGCTCTAGTAGATGGCACACTGCGTACAAGGCCCAAATCCAGGCAGAGACGGCGGCGGGCACGTGGTTCCTGAAGGACAGTGTGCATGGTGAGCAGTTTCTACCCTAGCCCCCCGATTAGCCCTCTGATCATAGCCCTCCAGTTACACAGCCTGGAAAAACTTCTAAAGTCATGAATACCAGGAAGTTTTTTGTGTGTTCATCAATCCTGAAGCAATTTACTAAAGACATCTATGCATATAACAAAAATCATCGAAGAACTGACAAAACAGCTGATGTAAGATTTGGTTTATTTAAAAAGTTAATGGCCAAACTGCAAAGCTGACTGTGTTGAGTTTTGGCAGAAACTGTCATCAACCCCCCTGGTCCTATGAGGTAACTTCTCTGAAAAACAAGTGATTCTGAGATGACATGTACCAGACTAAAACTCTCAGTATGCATAAAGGAGCCTATAATTAAAAGGTAGCTTAAAAATATTTAAAAAGTGAATTTAGTATCTGTACCAAAATAGAAATTTGCGTTTACACTGAGCACAAAGTTCTACGTAGGTGTACGATGTCTCTTCTCTCTGCAGATGAAGACCATTATACTTTGTGTAAAAAGAAAAATTACTTACCGCTATAATGTCTAATGTATTATCACAGACTTTCCGGATTTCATTATTTTTATCATGCATCAGATCTATGAGATATGCTGGAGCCTCTGGACAAAAGTGGTTAAAGATTCAAACTGCATTTGAGATGGAGGCTAGTCAATCTTATTAGGAGATTCCATATTTCTCTACATTCAAATGCTAACATGAAATTTAACTCCAAACTTCAAAATAAAACCATTAACAAAAGACCAGAAACATTTCACATTTCATTTGTTTAAAAAACAGGGATAACAGGTGAAAAAACGAGGGAAGGAGGAAGGAAGGAAAAAACTAGATAAAAAAGGGCAAGAAAAACAGCCACTAAATCTCAGAAAGTACACATTTGTATTTTTTAAAACACGGAAATCATGAAAATAACTGAAGGGGGAGCTCAAGAGCTGTGCAGCTATGAGTTCTTGATAGCTTTGACCCTCTTAAAAGTTGACTTCACACAGATAGAGTACCAGAAAAGAATCACAGTCCAATCCCATTATGAGAAAGAGAAAAACCTAAGACATTTCACATAAAAGAGGAAAGCTGCAACCTACTATTTCAAACAGAGAGAAAAGAATGTAAGAAAATAGAGTGTGTGTGTGTGTGTGTGTGTGTGTGTGTATATATATATATATACATAAACATGAATCAGTTAGAAAATTCAGAAAAAATAATTCAGGAAAGAACCAAAAATAAAAGTAAAAATCATTTAGGTATTTAAAAATTAAATTTACAGTAACAGATGAATAAATAAAACCAGATTAAAATTTAAGGGAAATGGAAGGTAAGAGGAAGAAAATTTGCAAAACAAAGAAATAAAAGATAAAAAAATGAGATATTAAAGACAGGCAAGGAAGCTCCAACACGACAGAGATACTGAAGACACCAAAGCAGTACGACCAACACTACAAACCTACCTCAAGAACACTTTCCTGAAATAAAAAAAAAAAAAAAGACAAAACGACCTATTAACAGAGACACTTGCTTACCTGGAAAAAAAATCAAGCAAGGCTGAGGAGTATCAAGTCAAAGTCTAATAGAACTACTTGGCTTTAAAGAAACAGAAACATTCCTGGCACAAAAACTGAGCCACTTACAATAATGTAACTCATTGTGTAAGAAAGTCAGCAAAATAGTAGAAAAGAATTGAAGAAAAAAAGTACATGAAGAAATGGGTCACATATTGTCAATTTTAAGTATGCACTGTTTTTTTAAAAAGCAACAGTTTAGTAATTAATTTTAAAGTATCATAAAGTGTTATAAAAATGAGGTGAAATTATTATACTGGATAGCAAATAACAGGAAGATCTAAGTGGAGACACCAGACTTACAAGTGGAAAAACAGACATACTCCTCCTGCAGAACTTAGTGAGAATACCTGCTGAAATATGAGCTAACTCCCAAAGCGAACAAATGAGTGTGCGTGTAACACGTGGTGGGAGTGGGAGAATACGGAAGAAGCCAGTCAGTAAGAAACATCAAGGACTCTAAAAGCAGTGAAGGAGAGAGCCACGATTCCCCATGCCTAGAGCCAGGCCGCAAGCTCCCACCCAGGAGAGTGACCACCCAGGAGAGTGACCACCAGCTCACAGGCGCCAGCAGGGCCGCCGCCGCTGGGACACCGCCTGCGGCCACTGAAGGACGCTTGCCACGCTAGAGGCAGAGGTTAACCCACTCACCAGTGCTACTCAATCTTTGGGGGTAAAAAAGGGGCACATTTAAAATGTAGAAAAAAATGTGTAGAATACTTTATACACTTTGAAACTCATTTTGTAAAAAATTTGGTAAAGAGTATTACTCTTTTTTCCCCTGCAAGGGTTCAGCCCCCTAAGGGTAGGGTCTTCGTCGTGCCCACCACAGTACCACCAGCTCTGAGAATCGAACAGTGTCCAGTGAGAACTACTCCACACACTACACATGGTTTTGTGAGGGCAAAGTGAAGGTGAACTTCTTAGGAAAATCTCAGAAATTCTCAGGGGGAATCTAAAAGCATCTAGTCAAGTCTGGGTTATTTTCCACACTGTAATTGTTGAGACTGTAGGAAAATCAATTATTACAATAGCACTGGCTCTCGATTTGAGGTTCTCAGTCCCTACGAGTTGTGCTGTAAGCCATTTTTAATATTTCGAACATCTTAATTTAAACCATATATTTACCTAAGATTAGCCTACACCAAACATTTCAAATGTCAAGTATCTTTCATTTAAAAATTACATCAAACAATGTGGATCAAATTTTCTAATTTAAAAATAATGGGAAAAGGAATGATTTCTTGCCTAATAAACCTTTAAATTTTTAATTTGAAATATTTAAATATATTGGTTTAATAAAGACAAATAATAAAATGCTTAAGATTATGGTGAAATATCTTAACAATAACTTTTCACTATGTGACAAGATAACAAGACATATGCAAAAGTCACTGACATCAACAGAAGCCCTGGCCCTCCACCAGGCAGCCCTTATCCAACCTGAAGACAGGTAAATGCATCCGATCTGAGAGGTACTCCTTGATGGTTTTGGTAAAAATTTTAATTCAGCAGATCTATTACCTCCAGTGCTCACCATTCCTAGCATGTTACATTCTTCAGAATAACTATTGAATTCAGATTCGATGGCTTACAAAAATTGAACTTGGTAGAAAATGAAGTTTCACTGAGAAGAAAAATCAAATGGAAGTTGTTTTAATACTGTGAGCCCTGATAATAAGGCACTAGAGTACATTTTAAACAGACCAGAGCTGAGACAGTAACACTCACTCACTATGTACCAGGCACTAACTCTTCACTCTTTAGTCCTCAGGGAAAAAAATGATGAAATGAAATGTAAACAAGGGTTTCTTTAAAATCAGTTATCTAGGGAGCTATGCTTTTAATGTTTTTTAACCTTTTAGTTACAGTGTCTTCTGCAGTTATACAAATGTTCTATATATAAAATATCCTTCTAGAGACTCACAACCTAAAAAACATGATAAGGGTTCCAAGAGAGACCCTGGAGCAAGAAAACGTGTTTCAGTGTTTTCCAAACTCACTGGTCACAGAACCTTTTTTCATTAAACAACTATTAATAATACTAAAGGGGTGTTTCGTGAAACAGCTGGGAAAAGTTCTTTCATTCTAGTGATGCTAACAGAGCTCGAAGTGCGTTTGGGATTCCTCTTCCTGGGACAGCTACTTTATGAGCCACATTTTAAAGATATTTATTACTTTATGATAAAAAGAGATCTAACATAGCTGGAAGGCCACACACTGCCTGCATTTTGACAGCCCCTATCAAAGCGAGCGTCTCCCACCAGTGATCGCCACCCTTGACCCTTGGAGACTTCATATGGCCCCAGAAATCAGACTCGCCCCCAAAAGCAAGGCACGCTCCCCTGAGACGGCGCTCAGAGCACGTGCTGTCAGACTCGGGTGTGACGCCAGAGGAGCTTCAAAACGTCCTTGAGCAACGGTCCATCATCAAAAAAGTCTTTCAAAGTATTAATTTTAAAAGGGCATTAACTATTTAGAAACATGAGTCCTTTGACCCAGCAGGTCCTGACTGCACGGCAGGCGTTAAGTGTTGGGTGTACATAAAGATAAGAAAGACAAAGCCAGTCTGGATCATAAGTAGCTCAAAGCCTTTTGGTAGAGACAGGCATACAAATACCTAACTTAAGAGTGCTTGAGCTCCGGTGAAAACAGCCACTCCTCCTGGGAAGAGCGCCCACAGGATCAGAAAGGCCTCCCTAAGAAGCTGGCTTGCAAGCTTATCCACAGTGAGTTGGTGACAGCAGGTAAAAAGGAGAGAAATGCACTTGAGGCTGACTAGGTGCACCAAGAGGCAGTGAGTTATGCCAAGCTGGGTCATGTCTTATAAATGAGAAATTCGGTGTGCCAAGAGAAAACTGTATATTGTAAGCCTAACGGAGGAAATTCAGCCACATAGGCTGAAGTCAGGTTTTGAAGAGCTACCTATATATGCTAAGCCGAAGAATTTAGATTTTTCACTTGAGAATGAAGGATTTCAAGTAGTGGAGTTCCAAAGCAGGTATTTTTTTGTATACAAACAAGCAGACTACTACAATTAAAGAAAAAACAAAGACACAAAGATTCAAGCAAGATACCACTTTCATTGCGGTCTTTCCTGACATGCCCACACTTGATCGCATCTCGTTTCCCATGATCTGTGCACATGCTTCATGACACCGATCATGCTGGATTGTAATTTTATATTTCTTATCTGTCAGTTTATCTCGCCAATCAAACTATAAGCTCCTTGAGTACAGGAACTAACTTTTTACACATCCAGCACTTAAAACAATACCTATTAGATGGTCAGCCCTTGATAAATATTTGCAGGAAAAATGAATGACCAATCATGCATGGTAATGGGGTTAGCAGACACAAAATGCTAAGCTGTGGTACTGACTGGATGATACTGTTATTATCCAATATGAATACAGGGGGTAGATTATTTGTTTTTCAGTGCAAGATGTTAGTAATCTTGAGCACCCATTTGGATGCAATAATGAAAAACGACCACTTATGACTGTCTCTCTGTGTTGGGAACAATTATAACCCATAAAAACCAATAGTACTTATAACAATACTATGAGGTGGGAGGTTTTCTTTTTATTTCAATAATAATATGGCCATGCAAAATTGTACGCTCAAAGAGGTTAAGTAACTTTACCAAGGTCCTGCAACTTTAAAGTGGCAACCAACAGGAATTTAAGATTAGGGCTATTTGGCTATAATATTCTTCAGGCTACACTGTAACTGTGCCCCTTTGGGTAGGTGGAAGACATCCAGGTGCCAGCTGGTAACCAATGCCTGGGACTCAAGAAAGAAGTTCTGAAGATATTAAACACTTTGCATATAGCGGGTGGCTGAAGTCCTGGAAATAGATGTGCTTTCCCATGTAGCATGAATAAGAGGACTAAAGGAATGTCCTAAGAGCCTCTGAAATTTAAGAATTGTTAACTGAGAAGGAAGTTCTGATACGTGTGTTAAGTTTCTTAGGAGTCACAGCCTCACAAGTTAACAAAATTGTTCCCAGTATACGCTGCCTACATACAGATTCGGGGTCAACAGCTTCTATGAAAAACAGCTTGCCTCTTAATTATCTCAAAGCTTGGTATTTTCTACATTATCTGAACATTCTCAAGACAAGAACACCTAAAGACGCTCTTCTCTGAGTGTGGGAAGCGTCCAGGGCACCCTGACGCCGAAAGGATACGCGTCTCCCGGACGATGACGTCCCTCGTGGCCTGATGGAACACCATCTGGTAGAAGACGTAGCTGATCTGGCACACAAACTCGTCATCTTCCTGTTGAGCTGAAAGGAGACACACACACACACACACACACACACACGTCAAGACACTGAGGGGAATGTGGGGTGAGAGAGGAACGCGGCAAGCAGACAGGTGAGGGGCCACCAGTGTGCAGCATTCACGAGATGCAGATGACACACATCTGTGCCTCCTAATGCATTTTATCTAAATTACATGATGATGGTCAGCAGGGAAATTTCATAATAGCCTCTTTTCAGAAATTTTAGTAAGTTTGGTTATAGTTAAATAGGTTAAATTACTTTGTAATACAAAGCTTAAAAAACGTTAAAAAAGAGAAAGTGTTTAAAACAGACAACTTGAGATTGTCTCAGAAGACTGGGTTATACCTAAGGGAGAACTGAGGGACAAGACTGGTTTAGAGAGCACGAACAGTGTTTCTCTCTAATTTTCACCTTTTTTTCCCACTAAGTGTAAAGAAATTAGTAATTAATGTGAATGTCCCTAATGTGATGCTAATGGCAATACTCATCACCGCTTTTTCTTTTTTGGGACATCATAAGAATTCTTCAAGCAAGTGTAACTTGTGAAATAAACCTGGTCCTATTTTGTCTCTGTAATGTTGACTACACATGAGAAAAATACTTCTTAAAAAAGATCATACCTTCCATTTTTTTACTGAGGAACGATAAAGTGCACAGATCTCAGTGTGCAACCTGGTGCATTCTGACACGTGCATACATTCATGCAACCATCACCCAGATCAAGACATCGCTTTCTCACTTTTTTCCCCACCCCCATAGCAACTACCAATTTGCCCTGTGTGTCTGTAAGTCTATTTCTATTTTGTTTGTTTTGTGTTTTAGACTCTACATCTAAGTGAAATCATATGGTATCTGTCTCTTATTTTTTCACTTAGCATAATACCCTGTAGGTCCATCCATATTGTAGCAAATAACAAGACTTCACTCTTTTTTATGGCTGAGTAATATTCCACTATATGTATGTACTGTATTTTTTTATCCATTCATCTACTGATGGACTTTAGGTTGCTTCTGTATCTTGATTATTGCAAATAATGCTGCAATAAACAGGGGTGCACAAATCAAAAAAGATCATACCTTCTAAATTTTAAGTTTTGGGTAGAAATTAGATTATTATAAACAAGTATTTTTCTTTTGTTAAGTACTATTAACAAAATTAAACTTTAATCATTGGCATAAAATATTAAGGCATTTTATTTTCTACTCAATTATAATAGTAAAAAAGAATGTTATATAATCATAAGGCTAATTAATAAATGCTTAAGATTATAAGAGTAGCTGATGTCCACTGATAAATATATTTTGGGAAAAGCAACAGAACAAAGAACACTAATTTTTGGGTACTGGCTATAAATTTCATCCACTAATAGTTTGCTATCAACTCTTGGCAACAGTGTAATGACATCTCTTAGGAGCAGATTTACAGGCAAACGCGGTGCCCACCAGTCATGCGGGGTAAACTGGGGGCTCCCGAAGTCCAGACGTTCCACGTGGCTTCCCTCGCTCACTGTCCCTGGCCCCTGGGCTCAGCACAGAGCTCCCCACTTACGCCTGGGATCTGATCAGGAAAACCGAAGGACTGCGTACTGCTCTCTGTCTCCCGGGCGACCCCGTGTGGGAGGACACCAAACACGGTGGGCACCGAGCCCAATGTCCTCTTGCTTCACACGCGTCTCCCTCCTCCCACTCACAATCCACAGTGCAAGGAATTCAAGGACACAGGTCACCATGTTCCAGGCTTCTCCAGCTCAACACAAAACCTTCACTTGCCCTCCCAACCGTCTGGGCTCTCCATTCATCATTTCTAATCTGAAAACTCCTGGCTGTGGAGGGGGTTCCAAAGGCAATACACACATACTTCAAATGTAGGAGTACTTCAAATATTATCTCTCGATAACCTATTAAAATGTGTGATGCTAAAGAATTTGCCTATCAGACTTCTAAATTCAGAAGACAAAAATGCACTTCACTTCATTAGCCAGACCTAAACGGCCAATAGACACAAACAAGTACTCAATTTCATGAGTCATTAGGGAAATCAAATTAAAACCACAGTGAGACACCCACTACAAAGGCTACAATCACACAGCCTGGCGATGCACACACAGGCGGTGAGGGCGACTGGAACTTCTGAACACTGCTGGTGGGGTTAAAACCCGGCACAATGACTTCAGAAAGGAGACTCACGTTATTTACTAAAATGACATATATACTCTGCGACTCAGAAATTCTACCCTGAGTATGTGTCTTATAGAAATGGGCACATACATTCACCAAATGAAAGATTTAACAATATTCGAAGGAGCACTATTTATAATAGGTCTTTCATTTCCAAAATAAAACCACCATTCTACTAGCCGCCAGGAGGAGAAAGGTAACCAGCGGTATCTGCGCGCAGCAAAGGAAAGACACACACGTCTGTACACGGCAGTGAACCAGGGTGGAAGGAACTGGATTATGCTTAAGGTTCAAAACCAAGCAAAAGTGACCTACGGGGCATAAAAGAAAGGCTAGAAACCACTTTGGAGAGAGTGATGATGGCCAGGAGGGAGCAGAAGGGGGACTTCCACGCTCAGTAATGCCTCGTTTCCTCACGTGAACGCGCATACCATAGACGTGCTCATTCTGAACATCCACGGAGCTGTATGCTCACAATTTGTGTACTTTTTATGGACCTTATACTTCCAAAAAGTCCATTAAAAATAATGCAGAATGCATATTATATTATACCTGGTACAGAAAAGAGATTAGACTGTCTTTTAGGCTTCCCATGTTAGTATATTTAACTTTTATACTACTAGCTACATTTAATGTATAGTATCTGCTATGGACTGAATTATTTCCCTCCAAATTCCTGTGTCCAAGTCCTAACCCCAAATGTGATGTATCTGAAGCTAGGAACATAGGAAGTAATTAAGGTTAAATGAGATCCTAAGGATGGGATCCTGACCCTGTCAGATTAGCATCCTCATAAAAGGAGATGGTAGAGCACATGTACACTCTCACACGCATGCTCACAGTCATGCGCTCAGATGCTCACATGCATGCTCACACACATGCATACTCACACGGTCATGCTCACACACATATGCTCACATACATGCTCACACAGTCATGCTCTCAGATGCTCACATGCATGCTCACACGCTCATGCTCACACATGCTCACACACACACGCTCAGGCTCACACACGCTTTCACGTACTCGCTTTCACATGCATGTCTCACACTCGCTCACGCTCATGAATGCACTCACACGTGCTCTCACCCATATGCTCATATGCATGCTCACACAAGCATGCTTATGCACGCACACTCCCACATACACGCTCTCACACGTTCACTCTATCATGCACACTCTTATGCATGCTCTCACACACGCTCTCACACAGATGCTCTCTCTCTCTCTCTCAGCCATGAGAGGATGGGAAGACCACAGAGAAGGTGGCCTCCTACCAGCCAGGAAGAAAGACCTCAGCAGGGTCCAAATCAACTGATGTGGTGACTCTGGACTCCCAACCCCAGAACTATGAGAAAATGAATTTCTGTTGTATAAGCCACCCAGGCTGTGGTGCCTGTTATGGCAGCCTGAGCCAACCAACACCAGTCCGAGAGAGCCGGACCCTGATACACTGACTTCAGATCATGGAGAACCAGGAAGCCTGGTCCCTTCCGGGCCACAGAAGGATGAGGGGAAGATTGTCTAGGTCCCCACTGTCCAATACTGCAACCAGAAGTCACTGCGGCTAATTAAATCAGATCAAATTAATATTCAGGTTCTTGGCCCCAACAGCTGCATGTCAAGTGCTCAGCAGCCAATGTGGACGGCACAGAGAACACTTTTTTCATGGCACAAAGTTTAGAGGACCTAGGAGGGCATATGACGCTTAGAACAGCTTCCGAATGAACTTTCCTGATTAGAAATCAAGATGCTAAAAAAACGGTTTGCACAGGACAGGAAATCCACTTTGACCAGAAGAAAGCTTAACAGAAAGAAGAAACGACAGACTGTTAGTTGCTGAAGTCTGGTGACAGGAGGGCAGGTTCTCTAAAACTGGTCCTTACTCAATTCCAGCAACATTCTGAACCTTTCAACCTAAAGCTCTGATACCTGATGGCATATTTTATTCATTTTTCTTAATTATGCAATTTAAGTTGCTATCAGATGATTAATGTAACAAGAAAAAGTAATACTTCATGATGACAAGACTCTTTTGTATTTAAAAATTTAAACTAATGACCTGTTCCTATATCAGCATTAAAGTAAATTAAAATAAATTATAATTTACCGTTTAGCAACTCAATGAGAGCAGGAATTATTCCGGACTTGGCCAGCAGCGCAGCACAGGAGTCGTCCATAGACACGGTCCCGATCATAATGACCACCTCTAAAACCAGGTCGTCTTCCGCAGCGCCTAGCAAGACCAGATCACAGAGGGTCGCACGGAATGTCTGGACCCAGTATTTGTGGGTGACCAAAATCTCAAGGCACAGAAAAGACACTGAAAGCTCTCGAAGCAACTTGTATGAATCCTTTGCATGCTAAGAAATGTGTCTCCAAGTCCCCACACTCGCTCCCTCATTAAGGCCTGTGGCGGCCGGGGATGGGGGGTGATGACAGCACAGAAGAAGAAACAAGTCCTTGAAACCACAAAGGAACGGCAAGGAGAACAGAGAACAGCAGACTGGTTTGCGTGCCTTCTGCGTGCACGTGTGTAGAGGGGCGTTATATTTGGGGATTTAAAAAAACCAGCATAAAAAAGCAAAGAGTGCAGGTTAGGGAAGGGAAGCTAATGTTAAGAAAACATTTTGTCAGGACAGAGAATACGTACATGTGGGATGAGACCCAGTGCCCGCTTTTCTGGGAGAAAGAGACAAGAACTGGAGTAAACAGAGCTGGGGGTGCGGGGAGCAGGCGTGTCGCCCCGTCTGGTGACGGCCACGAGGTTCGGCTCTGGCAGCCCCACGCACACTGGAAGGAAAGAGCCCGGCGACCGGCCACACGGAGGGGAAACGGCGCGCACCTGGTCTCAGCTTGTCCTTGAGGTAGGGGACCAGCTTGTACTCCTTCAGAACCAACTCCCAGTCCAAGTCCGGGACGGCCAGATTCGCGAGAGTGCCCAAGCACTCGACCACAAGCTCCTCCTCTTCATCGTCGGAGACCTGGGCTGCAAGGTCCCCGACATAATCCTGGATGAAACAGAATTTCAACATGAATTCAGTGATTTCTAAAGCGGAAGCAATCGAATGATTTAACCTATAGGAAGAAAAACATGTGTCAAACGTGATTCTCTTGGTTCAGGGACCTTGAGTGAAGCTGCTGCGGAGTCTGTGACGAACTGATTTAAGGCAAAGAGAACTGGAGTGAGGATGCGAGGCTTCGAGGTACAGAGCAGAAAACCCGCATTAAAGTGGGGGTCGAGATTTCCAAGAGCTGAACTCACAAGGGAGCCGAGAGCCGAGAGCCGAGAGCCGGCCTGGGCTGTGCGTCAGCCCTCGAGGAGCGCCAGCGTTCTATCTCTTTCAAGTAGCGCTTGAAAGCCTCGCTTCTCAGACTATTTTACTAGACAGAAAGCCAAAAACCATACTTACAATAAACAGATTTTTAGTTGGTCCATCGTGCTGGGAAATGTTCCTGATCATTTTCATCAGCAATGGATCCTTGAACTTCAGAGCCCTCTTCATGAGCATTTTCAGCCCATTTCCTGATAGAGAAAAACAGAATTCCTCCAATAAAACTAAGGCTCACTTAAGTTTAATGATGTTTTTGGTATACAATTCTCAAAAAAACTCCCACTTTACATATAGTAAAATTCATACATCTCAAGTGTGCATTAGTTTTGATATACGTAAGCCTCTGTGTATCCAATACCCTTATCAGTATGTACGTTTTTCTATTCACTTCAGGAAGTTCCCCTGCGCCCCTCCCCAGTCGCTCCCTTTCCCCAAATACAATCACTTTTTCTTTTCCTTTCCTTCCCCTCTTCCTCCTCAGCCCAGACCAGCTCTGCTGTTCCAGAATTCCACACACATGGCACCACACAGCATGCGCTCTTCTGTAAATGGAATATGCACCACTAATTTTTAAAATGTAAATACTTTTTGATCCAGAAAAATTAGGTGTCTAGGAATTTATCGTAAGAATATAAAACTGTAAATACGGAAAGATTCACAGAAAGGAAAATTACTGCAGGACTGTTTGTAGCGGAAAAGAAGTGGTAACAAACTAACTATCCAAACGAGCAGATTAAACTACAGAAGAGCCTCCGATAGACTGTTCTGCCATCGTTAACTTCGGAGATACTTCCTAGATAAAAACACAGGGAGAGGAGAGCACTATTTTAATTAAAAAATATGCAGAAGCAAGCAGCAAAGCACCAGTTCTACCTGTCATCACCTCTGAGTAGTAAGGAAAAGGCTTTGATTTTTCCTATTTACTCATTTGTACTTTTATAATGAACATGTACATTAAATAAAACTGTTGAGCAGTCTCTGAAATACCATAATGCACAACAAGCCATTTTACAAAGATATTCAGAAACATGTACCTAAAACATTTGTAGTATACTATCTTGCATTGCAACAGACTGCTTGCAAATAAAAAGTTTTGCTTCATCTAGAAAATACTTTTAAAAATTGAATTTCAATTAAAGGTAACTGACCCTGGTTTATAACATTTTATTGAAGGGTAAGTGCTAGTATTCATGATCTAAGCATGTTCTGAGTCTATCTGAACTTTAAGGATTATAGCTGTAATTTAAAAAGCTATCTAAAAATAGGATTTACATAGCTACAATGATTCTTAATTCCTTACTATTTTCTATCATATGCCAATTTCCTTATGGTAGCGGTAACGTGAAGCTCAAAGGCACTAACCTTCACAGATAATCTGCACATTCCTTTTGTTGGCAGCGAGATTAATGCAGAAAGAAATGAGCTCCAAGTCAATCCGTTCATCCGAACACTCAAAGAGCATCTTCATTAACTAGCAAAAAACACAGGGCATATTTTACTCAAAAAAAAGAAAGGAAAGAAAGAAAGAAAGAAAAGAAAGAAAGAAAAAAAAGAAAAGAAAGAAAAGAAAGAAAAAGAAAGAAAGAAAGAAAGAAAGAAAGAAAGAAAGAAAGAAAGAAAGAAAGAAAGAAAGAAAGAAAAAACAAAACACACACACAAAAAAAAGCCAGAAACACTATCTTATCACAATGTGTTATTTTAGATAAATGTTGGAAATAACATAATGCAATTATATTTTCAACACAGAGAAGTGGTAGGCTCTTCTTATCCTTGAATAACTCAATGAATAAGAGATTAATGAACTATCATTAGGTGCTCAGTGTTAAATATATTCCTTCAAATACAGTGGAGAATGAAATATTAGGTAAAGCCTTTAAGGAATTTAAAATAGTTGTGTGGAGGCAGAGCATTGTGAGCAGAGAACATGGCCTGCACAGCGCAGGAAAGCACGATTCTCGCAGAGAGCTGAAGGCGAGCCTGGCCGGAGCAGGGAAACGGCACTGACAGACAAGAAGGTAAATGCCAGATCATGCAGGGTCTGGGAGCACATGCTGAGGATTTCTGTTCTCATCGTAAGGGCAAGGGAAGACATTAAAGGCTTCTAAATAAGTGTCAGGATAAGATTTGTATTTCAAAAAGATGTGGCCCAGGGAGAAAATACCAAGACAATGTGGGAAAACCATCTCGGAGGACAGAGGCAGGTCCAGATGGGACAATGGCTGCCTGGACTAAGGAGGGCCATGGGGACCGAGATACAAGGATGCGTCAGAGCTGTATTTTGGATGAAGACTCAAAATGGGTTTGATAACTGACCACATGTTGGGAGTAAGAGAGAGGAAGGGTCAGAGATGACTCTCAGGTTTCTGCCCTGAGCAGCATGGATGTGGCACTAACTGTAACCAAAAGAGAGAAACTAGAGTAAGAGAAAACATTAAAAGAAAGATAGTAGTTTTGGGGTTTAGCTATGTTGAGCTTAAGCTTACTATGTGATGGTCTAGTGCAGATATTCAGCAAAAGTTATAAATGCAAGCCTGTATTTAGAAGAAATGGATTGGAGGTAGAATTTTAGGAATTGTCGTATATGTTAGATAGCCGAGGCTGCAGGCTGGGTCTTATCATGCGGGCAGGCGTATAAAACGAGAGAAAAACTCCACTTAATGATCAGAGAAAGGGAAGGAGAGCGCGACAAGCAGCAGACAGGAGAGCAGGAAGAACGAGGGCAGGCTACCCTTGGAGGGAGTCTAGATCTGACATGATGACAGAGTTTTGCTATAGAAAACGAGATATAAACAAACTTCATGCTATAGTTTTGAGATGCTAATGTTCTACTATTGGTAAATCAGCAATGAACTTAGTGTATAAAATGTGAAGATATCTTTCTCTACATCAAATTGCTAACACTATATGGAAATCAATCCTAGAATTTATAACCTAACATTTTCTTATGCTTTATCTCAGGGCAATATCTTTTCAGGCCAACATGCCTTCAGAGGTCCAGCACAGTGCCTTACATACAGTAAGCAAATAATAACTATTTACTGACCGGTTAGACCCTATTCTGTTAAATCTTGTTCTCATTATTCTCTATGTTAGTTCCAGATAACTTTCAAGTTTCAAAAAGGATGCATGGTTAACACATGAAAATCAATCGTATTTGTATGTATGTGGTTACAATGAGCAACTGGAAACCAAAATTAAAAATACAAATCTACTTACATTTGCTCCAAAAAAAATTAAGTACTTGGGTACAATTTTAATAAAGCCATATTACATATAAAATGCACCACATGATGAAAACTACAAAGTATCATAGCAGGAGAATGGTACTTTGTACCTTATCATGCCTCTTCCCGGAGGGTAATTCTTTACCCTCAAACATTGCTCTAATGTAATCTTTAGATAAAGAATTACTAATATTTAATAATGTGACATAAAAAATTCTATAAATAAAATCACCTTGCTTTATCGGATATACATTTAACAGATACTGTTCCCTGTCTACATATTAATTGTCAATTAACATTACAATTAAATAAAAATGTAGTGACAATTGTTAGTGTAATTAGTATATTTTTCATGCCCTAATTAAAACTTCACTATATGTTTGTTCCAAACTTTTACTGATACAGGAAACCTCTTTATGATAACAAATCTGTTATATCAAAGCAATGCTTTAAGGAGGCATAATATCTGTTGCTATTTACTTGAAATTAACTTTGTAGTATAAAAATTGCCCTTAAAAATGGGGTTATAGGGGATTTGTTTAAAAGCGGAGGGTTTTTATTGAGGGGATGGTAATTTCCATGTTAAATCTTATGGTGAAATAATCAGGAGCTAGACTTTAAAAATAACTTACGGTTTGAAATCTTATCTGACCCCCACCCTCCAAAATCAGGAGAAATTAGGTCTAAACGGTAATGAAATGTATCATGATACAGAATTAGTTTTTCATAATAAGAAAGAGAAACACTTCAATTTTAATTAAAGCTCTCATATTTTAAAATAGTAGTTTAGTTCAAACTCTACATGCAACATTATGTCTTTAATTTGATCATTACCCACAGCAATTCAAAAGTTCAGTGTGAGTGCTGACAACTAGGAAATACTAAAACTAGATTGGTTCTGTTCCAACTGTGTCCACTGTCATCTTTTACTAATTTAACAGGAAGGCACTCAAAGGGCTTCAGCCTGTGCCATGAAGAGTCAATAGCGTTCAATCAGACAAGTCCCATACTGGGTATCGGATACCAAAGACTCAAAGCTGAAATCACCGTGTCTAGACTCTCTGGCACCTGACTTCACTTACTCACCAGTGACCAGGGGCCAACCCCCGCAGCCCTCTGCGTTCACATTCGCCTCTGCCACCCCCACCCCCCACACACATCTTTGAATGATTATGGCAGAACTCTGCAGGCCTCGGGAATCTCTTCCGACTGGCTGCTCCCTCACTCTGCTGTTTGAAGTGATGCTCTGGTTTCTGAGCTTCGGCGGATACTGGCAGGCAGGAGCAAAGGGGCTGTCAGAAGGGACGTTTACCAGCATTCAGCTAAAAAGAAGCATGTAGATCACAGAGGGCCCAAAAGGACAACGGCGGAGGAAGACATGTGGATCACTAGGAAGATTCTTGCACACTCTTCAGGGTAACAGTGAATAACACCGTGACATCGCTGCCTAAACATGTACTTTGATTGGCCATTCTAGCACCTATAAATACTTTTTATAAGCATCTGGATGGCATTTGCACCTATTTAAACAAAGCATACATCTTAGAGGCCTAAATAACAGTGAACTGGTAATGTGTGCTTTTAACTGTTATGAGAAAACAACCATTAACTCCTGCTTATCCCCGAGGACGCTCACCTGACACAATTCACCCACTGAGACCATTAAAATCATATATATAGACAGACTTGCCCTGGCCCCAAAATTTTGCATCAGTGACATAATAGGGGAAAAAAGTACACATTTCCTGGATAATTAGAGGCAATAAGAGTACAAAAGAAAAAAAGCAACATGATTTTGGGGAACATGCTGAATGTACAGCTGCCCATTCTGAGAGTTAAAGTAAGTCACAAAAGTGAATCTAGTTACAGGTTTACCCCACGACACATCTAAGAAGGGCAATATTTAAACTGGACTATGAATGGGTCCAAAAAAATGACAAGGATTTGGCATTTTACTAACAGCATCTTACTTTCATAAAGTGTTCACAGTTTTTAAAGCTCCTTTACATATATACCTAATGGAATTAAACAATATGACCACACCCCACATTTATTGATTACTGAAATTAATATGAATGACTATTCAACCGTTGCTTTACTACTTCCAAAATTATTTTAGGCTTCTCATTTGAAACAGTCATTTCCAATACTTGACGATCTTTACTACAAAACTTAATGAGAGTAATCTCAAAATGAACAGAGTATTACATTAACCCTAAGATATTCCAAACCTCAGATATGGCTTTATTAAATAAACAGCTTAATCAATTGCTGTCAGAAATGACTTTAAACTTTTACTAGTATTATAAACATTACTCAAAGTAGCCAATACCTGTGCATAAGGAGTATCTTTAATTCCTGAAGGAATCTTAAAAATCTCAATTTAATCCCAGATTTGCTTTCCATGGCACTCTTATTTTACAATGAACTTGGCATACTATAGCAATTAGACCATGTCAACTTTTCCTACGTGTGTCAAAATCAGGACCTATGAAGTATGAGTTATAGGCTGAATAACGGTTTAAGAACAAATATATTCTAGAGTATTATGACCTTTACACTAGAAAGCTTCAGGATATTTACAACATAATTTGGTAACACGGCCTCACTATTCCTAAAAAAGTTGAATTTTTAAAAAGAAGAAATTATAAACACACAAAAAGGTTGACCACTGAATGAGTTTTAGAAGATTTTGTTCACAAAATACTGATCATAAACGTTCCAAAAATCCTATTGCAAAAATCTTTGATGTCAGAAATAACCTGTTAAGAAAACATGCGTGAATATTTTTCTTGAAAAGATAGGGTAATATTCTACACATAGTTTTCAACTGCAATAATAATAATGTGTCAGAATTAACCTAAACAGGCTCTTATTTCTGATTCTTCACTTAAAGTACAGTTTTGTATTTTATGCTTGACATCATACATTCGATGAGAGAGGTAACTCCAAATCCAAGATTCAACAAAGTAAGTTTTCCATCCCTTTTTAGTTTATATGTATTTCTCTTTTATTTAATGTTATTTTCTTTAAAATCTAATCAGATAAAAACAGTCAATCTAGACAAGAACAGTCAATCTAGACAAGAACATTATTCTTGTTCGGCTGCTTTCCAAATCACACCCTGTGGTCAGTGGAGCTCCGATGCTGACTGGAGCCGGGAAGGGAGACGCTTTCAGACTGCAGAGCGGAAGCCCCTGGGGCACGCGGGAGAGGCGGGAGCAAGTCCCCTTTGACCTGCTGCTCTTTCACTGAGAACTTGGTTTGAGGGACTTTGGATACACTTTGCAATGGCTACAGTCCGACATTTGTTATCTCTCCAAGAAGCCTTGCCTTGCTAGATAAGAGGTACTATGAATTCTCTGAAGGATGTCTATTTCCTATAAACAGGCATAATTAGCTTATCCCCATACAAAAGGCTAAGAAATTATTCTTGAGAATTTATCAGTTTTCTAATTCCACGTGGATAAAGTTAAAATTCTAGAAGAGAAAATTCAATTTTATAACTATTTTTCTAATTTGGGATGAACAGAAGAATGGTCAGTAAGAATTAATAGAGAACTTAGTCTATTTTTTACTAGATATTAATTTTCAAGTAAAATGCATATAGTAACTTATATTAGGCTAACAATGCATCACCTAGTAGAGTCTTAAGAAGAATTACTTTAATGAGTATGACTTACTATTTATAGTTCTAAAGTGTGCTTAAAAGTGTTACTTCCATTGTATATTTTACATCCACAATTTTGTTTTATCTATTTTAAAAACCTTTTTAGAAAAATAATTTCACATTAAAAATCACCCCAACCAAGAAATGTGGGATTCACATATAAATCAAGTATAAAAATCAAACGAATAATCATATCTGACTTGATTGTTTATAATTCATGATGCATGATCAAAACTGAAAGTTTCTGTGATATGACTGCCCTTGTACTGTTCACCATGTAAGAACTTATTCACTATGTAAGAACTTGTCCACCATGTAAGAACCTGTTCATTATGCTTCAGAAGATTGGAGACTGTTGAGAATTAGGCTTGGGGTGGATTAATGATTGTGCATTGAGTCCCCTATACAGAATTTTATTGTTGTTAACAACCATTTGATCAATAAATATGAGAGATGCCCTCTCAAAAAAAAAAATCAGCCCAACCAGTGTTCCAATCATAAGATATACAAATTAGTAGAGCTCAGTTTAATACGGATTAATGGCACAACACTGATTCGATGAAAGTAAACGCCTGAATAGTAAAATCATACATGTATAGAATCTCTCTGCTTATGTAGTACATGTAAGAAAAAATCACTAAATTCCTTCAAAACAGACCTAACATATGAAATACATCAAGCAACTGAGTCATACACCAAAAATCTCTCTTGAGAACAGTGCTATGAAAATAAAAGAATTCTGATGAAGCATTTCCCATCAGCAAACACGAAGCACTTAAAATCATCAGCCATAAACAAAATTAAAGTGCGAATGATAAAGTTGGTAAATATCTGTGGTATGACAGAGTTGAAATAATATTACATATACAAATTTTACTAATTAATACTAAAAATATTAACAAGCAAGCCACTGGAATGGATAATTTATAATACAGATAATAAAACATGAAAAAATGTTCAACCTCACCAACATTCACAGAAATGTAAATAAAAAGAAATAGAGACACTCCACCTTTACATAAATGATAATATTCAGTGTTGTTAAAAGTGAAATGCTATTTGGAAATACAGTTATATGTTCTTAGAAGGTAATTTGGCCATAATGTGTCAAATACACAGTGTTTATACCTTTTGACCTACTAATTCTCTTCTAAGAATTTAAAGAAAAAATTCAGAGATGTGAATAAACATTTACATACTAGGACAGTCCACAGTATTTGATTTGCTTATATGTTTACTTATATCTGTTTTTATGTGATAAACTAGAAAAAACTAAACATATAATTTAATAATATTTAAATGATGGTACATTTAGGCAATCAAAAACAAATGTAACTATTATAAATACTTTCTGAAGATTGTTCAATGATATGGGAGAAACTTTTATTGACCTATTAGGATCATTATTATCTATTAAGCAAAGAAAGCAATATATAATTAACTATAACATGTAATCCTAATATGTTATTGTCCAACTATGTAAAAGAAAATGTACCAAAATGTTAAATGGTTAACTCTAGGTTTAGGATAAATAGAAAGTTATTTTCATTTTTACACTGTCTTGTACCTTCCAGATTTTTCTATAACAACTTTTTTTATATTCAAGAGGGAATTTTTAAGGAAAAGGACATCTGGCAAATCAAGAGAAGAAAGTGAAGAAGACACGTTTTTTGAACGTCTTTTAAAAACACTGAAACTTCTCACCTGTGGTATACAGTCAGTGTATGCAAACATTGACTTGAAGCGGTCGTCCATGCTTATGTGGTAAAGAACACACATTGCTATTTGTTTGTAGTTTTCATTGCCTGGGAACAAGAAATCGTGGATATGGGGAATGATACATATAAATTATTTTTTGTATGACACATTCAAATTAATGCATTCAAACTTTTAAGCTACTGAGTCAAATCTTACTGTAATCCTACTTCCAGAAATATTTCAAGCTCCCTATTTCACTTTCAAAGTCCAGAGCATATTATCTGTGAAACAGAACTATTTTCCAGAAGATAATGTGCTTTTTACAAGGTACAGCTTTGAAAAAAAATAACCACAAACTTAAGAATCAATCATTTTCAGTAGCCCACTATAAAAGACTAGGCCATTGGCCTCCCTACCCTTACTGTTTTATCAAAATACGTGATTAACACAGCTCAAGAAATAGTAAACAAAAAAGTGGGTTTAATTCCTCTGAACGAAACTGGAAAAACAAATCATAAAGTAGAATGGCATTTATAACATTAAAAAAAATGTGTAACTATAAAATGCCAAAGGATAAACAAAGCATATTCTAGGGACCATCTCAGAACTTCTGAGGTAAGATTATTCTGACATTACACACCCTGAAACTGAAAAAATAAAAGTGAATGATACACCAGAGATTTGAAAAATAAGATGGGATGTTTGTATGTCATGTAATACTTCCACCTGCTTTCAGACAGTATTTGAAGGGCCTTTTTATGATCTCAACATCAGTGACCAAACTAGAGCTAGAAAAGTTTAGCTATAAAGTTTTATCCAAAGAACACCATCCTTTCTGAAAATTCTACACTGAGAAATCCTTGAAGATATCTGGAGTTAAAAAAAATCAAGCACATAAATGGATTTAGTTGATAAACAATGTATCAAGAAGATTTTAAATCTATTTTAACACAGAGGATAAATTTGGCACCTTTCTTGTGTCTCCCATAGCACAAAATTATTAAAATACTTAAGTGTTTTTTAAAATACTGTTTTTACTCTAACTGAATTTTTTTCATTAATAAAGTTCATTTTTTCATTAACACAGAAAAGATATTAGACATACCTTTTTATAGAAATTCTTAGAGGACATAAAATTTGGTGACCTCACAAGGCTTAGTATATGTAGCACATGGAGATTCTCAAATATGTGCTCACTGTACTTTCAACATTTAAACAGTATGGTGATTAGAGTTAACAATACTGTTCTGTAAACTTGAAAGCTGCTCAGAGGAGATCTTACAAGTTCTCACCACTAAAAGACAAAGTATGTGAAGTGGCAGATGTGTTAACTGACCTTATTGTGGTTAACAATTTGGCAATACATACATACATCAAATCATCACATTGTACACCTTAAACTTACGTAATGTTTTACGTCAATCTGATCTCAAGCTGGAGAAAAGAGCAGTGTTATATGTAAACAAATCAGAGGTAAGACTGAAGATGTAAAGCACATTTAGTCAAAGACAGAAATGATTAGTTCTTTTAAGGGCTTCAGATTTGGGACAGTGTTTTAAAGGGTTTTATGGGGTCCTTTACAAATAGGTAAAAAGCATTTGTGACCCTCTAATCTCTGCCTCCTTTGCTTTCCTGGAGCTTATATGATAAAAATATATCATGTGGTAAGGGAGAACAGAACGAATCTCCAGAACAATCCATCAAATAAATACTGTCATCCCCACTTTTCAGATGAGGAACCTAATACTCAGAGCAAAACAAGCATTTGCCCCACAGCCTTGTACGTGGATGAGCAGGTGTCTCTCTGATCCCCACCAGGCTACCAAGCAGGCGTTTACACAGGTCTGATCCCTAGTCCTCACCAGATTATGGCACGGTGTCTCTCAAACACTTTTACATCATAAGGTGGAATGGTCTTCCAATTAAGACATTATCATCAGGTAAAAAGACTGATGATACATGTTGACATGTGGTAGGATAAAACATTCATAAAATAGAATTCTTAAAAATCTAGACTTTTGCATCTTTTAAGATGGTTTGGCTAAAGCTTATTACCTATGGCTTTCAATATCAATATAAAAATGATTCCTTGAGATAAAAAGACAATAAAATTTATTCTATGTTTGTCAGATGAATATATACTAGTAAATATTTTAATCGTAAATAAAAATCTATGAATTCACAAACTCAACTACTTGGAATACAACATATGCAAGAACTACTTTCTTTGTGAACTAATAATCACTCATTTTATCTGATATTCGATGTCTTTTTCTCTATAGCATTATAATTTATAGGAAATGTGTAGAATAAAGAATCCAGGTCAAATCATCTTAGGTAAATTTCAGGTCTCCTTTACTATTTGAAAAACTTCACTACATAATCTATGGAAAAGAGAGAAGACTAGTAAGTCAGAAACACAAGTTAACCATAGAAACTATAGTATATATACTAAATATATATAAACATTTGGGGGTGAGAATTTTATGTGGAGGAAAAGATATGCAAAAAGTGACTCCAAAAAAGAGAAAAGTAGACACAAACTGCATGTTCCCAACCCAAACACTTTGTTATTGGGATCAGAGCAATAAATGGAAAAGATTTATAGATTTAAATAAATCAGCGCTGCTGAAGGCACTCCTTTATATTTATTCTAGTATGAAACACCCTTGCCACAGGATAACAAACCCTTGCCCAGATTCTCATGATATGTAATTAAAAATGATATGTAGATTAAAAATGAAAAGTTCCAACTTTATTCTCCAAGGAGGGAGGTAGAATCCTTTCGGGGTTAGTCAGATTATACTTCAGACTAATATCAGGACAGAGATATTTTTAATCTTTTCACGTAGGGTCCTACAGCAGACTGTTAAGAGTCTGAAGTAAAGTCTAGTCTTCTCTCTTTTTCACAGATTATGTAGTTAAGTTTTTCAAATAGTAGAAGAGACCTGAAATTCACCTAAGATGATTTGACCTGCTCTTCCAGGTTCTTTCTATATGCGGTTCCACTGTTGGTATGTTCTAATTTCTACTTAATTTTTACAAAATATAATTCAAAGATATTTTCTCTAGTAGATTCACTGAAAAATAGGATTCCAAGTCACACAACTTACTAAATGGTAAAAGAAACAAAGAGGTATCAATACTAATATACAAGATTCTTCAGAATCAAAGTAAACCATAAAATGTTAAAATTCAGTGTGGAACCAGGAATGAAACAGGAAGCTCTTCTCTATGCTGGAGAAGAATGTATTGCTGGTATCAATGAAAGGATTCTAAAAAGCAGTGTTCTACATCTGTGCATTGATCATGCAAGATGAGAGGGGAGATTCACCTGTAAGAGTTCTGTACTCCATAGGAAGGGTAACAAGGAAGGTCTCCTAGAGCTAAATATAAATAAATGCATATGTAGTTATAGTTATGTAACTTCCAAAGAATAACTCAGGATAAAGGGTATGTGAAAAAACAGAATGTCTGAAGAAGGGGCCTAAATTTATAATAATTTCTAAAAAGCAGATGAATGACATATGTAAAAAACAGATCTCAGATATTGAAATAATTTATATTACTTTTTTTTAACACAGCAAAACTGAGTACCTAGTTTCGAAAGCAGGGTGACCCTTCCTGCAGGCTGTGCTTCCTCCCTCACTCTTCACACTCGTGGCCGAAGGTGAGGGCTCCTTGAGGTTCTCCCAGACCTTCTGATCCTTCTCTGTGAGCCTCTATTTAAATGTCCCCAGATCCCCATAATCTGCCTACATTGGTTACCATGCCCCAAAGTGTGCTGAGAACTAAAGGACTAGAGGAAACAGAAGCTCCGGGCATACAAGGCTACCCTTAAAGGCTGAGAGCGGCCCATCCTTTTAGAACTACGATTCTCCAAGAGAAGGGAAAGCAAACGGGTTGGACACACAGTGATAAATTTTCTCTTTAACCCGCGTAACAGCTGAAGAGGCAGAGGCGGCGATGGCATTCCCTCCACGAGCCCTTCAAAAGGACACACGGCCGTGAGGCTGCGGTTCACGCCGAGGTCTGACAACAAAAGCCTGTGCGTGTCCTTTATTCCAATAGCCTTCCAGGAGGCGGCAGGGGGGCGAGACCAGCAATGCCAGGTACCCCTGGCGGTGCCGCACAGGGAGGGGATGCAGCCGGAAGGGCTCTGCAGGACTCGCGGGGTCCGGGAGGGGAAGGTGGGAAGACGGTGGAAGAGGGGAGAGAGCGGCGGAGATGCAGAGAGGCAACTGGTCATTCACCAGGGGCCCAGTGCCCCACAGGGGAGGTTCCGATGGACAAAGGCAGCTCTTGACAGGGACATCCTGCACTGTCCCCAGGCAGTCTTGGGGACTAGATCTATAGCACTTCTGAAACTCACTCTCACCGAAGAGGACAAGAACTTTTATCAAGCAGTGTTGGACTCCACGTCCAGAGCAAGGTACTGAAGCTCACAAGGTGTTGGGAGCCGGAAACGCGGCGGCACGACGCTGACCAGGAGCTCCAGCTCTGGCGGCAGGTGCTTGGGGTCCATCTGTGGTTCTACCCCTTGACTGGCCGTATGGCCTTGTGAACAGTATTCTGACCGGCTTCAGTTTCTTCCTGTGAAACGGGGATGACCGCTGTACCTGACTGAATGGGTTGTCGTATAGGACTGGATTAGGACAGCGAATCATGGTGAAGCGATCAGTACACGAATAGAGCAGCTCCGTAAACACCATTTCTGCTGATATATACCATTCTGTTCCCCCAGCAGTACTGTCACGTTCCCCTAACACACAGGCGGTCTTGGTGTTTTCTAGCCTCAAGGTTCGAATGCAGAGGTAAAGTAGGTTTGAGATGCAGCCAAGAGTTTTCTGAGGCGAGTGAGACACGCTCAGAGCCACTTGCCCTGCTGCTGGCCATTTTCCCATAAAGCTCTGCTATTCCCAAAGCATGAGCTTAGGAGAGTCCCTCATACGTAAGTTCCACTCCATGACCCGTATCTGGTAAGAACCCTTACCATTCTCTCCCACTTGCAGGATTTACTTAATGAAATAAACTTCAGGAAAAAATTAATCAAAATATCAATTACTGTCACCGGTATGTGTTCCTCCACACCCCGACACAGGCCTAG